CCCTCTTCATTGTTAATGCCATTATTTCTCAACAGTCAGTTCAAATTCTCCTCCTCAGGAAGCCTTTTCTTACCTACCCTAGCAGAGTCATTGGCCATCTCCACTGAAGAGCAAAAAATACTTTGTACATACTTCCAATATACACTTATCATTCTATAGTGCAATTTTGTGTTTACACATCTGGCTCCCTTACTAGATGATAACCTCCACGAGGGCAAGGATCATGGTTTATCTTTGTATTACCAGCACCTAGAAAAGTATTTCCTATAGAAATTGCTCAACAAATATTTGGTGAGTAAATAAATCAGTGAATGAATCACTGGGATTGATTTCATATTTCTATTAAGAGTTCTTTTAATCATATGACTGACATCTTTGGGTATGAGACTGGAGTGTTTTGTGACTGATATGAGTATTTTTATATCTAGAGTAGTACTTTTTAGCTTTACTTATTTATTTTTTAATTGAATTTATTGGGGTGACATTGGTTAATAAAATCATATAGGTTTCAGGTGTACAATTCTATAATACATCATCTGTATATTGTACTGTGTGTTTACCACCTCAAGTCAAGTCTCCTCCCATCGCCATTTATCCCCCCTTTACCCTCTTCTAAATCCCTCCCAGTCCCCTAGCTTTAAATTTTTTATGTTCCCTATATCTTCCTCTGAGTGGATGCTTTTGCTACAGATGACTAAAAGTGTTGACTACAATAGTAAAAGGAAAGTGAAAAGTTATTGCAATGAGATTTGTCTCTGAGAAGACCCCACTGGAAGACTTCATTAATACTGATGAAAAAGAAGACAAATTGGGAGGTATAAAGGGTTCCATTTGATTGACAGGAGAAAGGATAGGGAAGCAGTAAAGAACACACATGGACAGGCGAATGTAAACATCAGAGGAAAAAGTAGATGGACCATGATATTGGATTGTATATATCAGTGCCATTTGGTGACAATCTGACTAGAAAATGATGCTTAGAAGATAGTGGAAGTTTTCAATCTGTGGTCAACAGAGTACAAATGGGCACAGCACTGCTCCTGGGAAAACTTTACAAAGATCAGCAGATCAAGATTAGCTTAGAGATGCGTGCTAAAGAAAGATGCTCCAACTGCTGACACCAGGCTTCTTCCCACACCTGGCACAACCAGTATCCCTTCATCCCTGTGCCATGGGAGGTAATTTTTGCTCTGTTGGCCAGCACCAGCCTGAGGGAAATTTGAGAAGCAGACAAAATTTAACATTTATTCATCCTTTTTGTACAGCCCGCTTCATTATCCCATTTTATCTAATTTCCTTATTGCTTCTTCATTTCACTTGTTTGCCCAGCCCTCTCCCCCACCTCTGTGATAGGCCAGGACATTCCAGTGTTTCATTCTCTGGACTTATTCTCTCCTAGCCCTCTGGTGGCGATGGCACCATGTCCATTCTTTCTGGCAAAACTACTTGGCCAGTCTCAGCTAAACTGTTAATGACTGACTATGGCTTTGGTTCCTAATGTATTATTTCTCCCACACATGCATTCTGCTAGAGATTTTCAGTGGCTTAATAAAAAGGTGGAATAAATATTGAATACTAAATAAAGGAAACCATTTATAAAGCTAACCCACACTAAGCCTTCCATTTAAAATGGAAGTCTTATCCTTAAGGAGCTTCAGATCCTTAAAAAATAGTTTCCTATTTCATATTTTATTAAAATAAGCAGGACACACAATAGGTCAGATTTTTGTTTCACTCTAATAATTTTGATAACAGCTGTTGTTAATTGGGGAGGAGTATATTTGTCAAAGCAGATAATCATCTTGTATTAAAAAACACCCACACACAAAAAACAGAATATAATGAGAATTTGGAATCTGCCCAGGATGCTTTTTGAAAAATGGATGGCATGGTTGACATCTTTTTTGTGCCTCTTCCTGACACTCCCTGAAGGGGCCACCCTGCCCATTCTCTGGGAGAAGCAAAGATGATGTTGTCTAATACTTCAATGACACAGAAATGTGTTGTCCGCAGACTACACTGAAGGAGAATCAAATGAGGCAACCATAAATTATTAACCGCTGCTCCTATGAACCTGCTCTTCAAGAACATAACGCTGATTGCTTTAAATGGTGTTTGGAAATTCTTTGCTCTGTGGTAAGAGGAAACAGGACGCAAACAGGAAGAGAGGGAGGGAAAAAATGAGGAAGGAATATCCCAGCTTCTTACAGTTAAGTTGTTTTTTATCTTTGAGATGTCTACATTTTGAGATGAAAGCTTCTTGGACTATTATTTTTTCCAAAGACTTAGCCAAGGGCCTCAGCTGGCAATACTTGCTCACTGTATTTCCCATATATATATATTAATTTTTTTAAATTGATTTTTAGAGAGGAAGAGAGAGAGAGAAACATCGATGTGAGAGTGAAACATCCATTGGCTACCTCTTGGCTGCCTCCTCCACACCCCCTACTGGGGATTGAGCCCTCAACCGAGGGATGTGACCTGACCTGGAATAGAACTGGCAACGTTTCGGTGCTCAGGATGACGCCCAACCAACTGAGCCAGCCAGGGCCCCATATATTTTTTAATAATTATGTACATATTTCCATGTTCCATTTTATCCCTCTGGGTGACTCTGTGTTGGACATCTGAAATCACTATTTCAGGCATTTGTTTTTCTTCTCTCTAATGAAGGATATCTCCAATTCTCTTTTGCCTTTGCCTACATTCTTTTGACATTAATTAAAAAATATATCTGTCTCTGACCAGTGTGGCTCAGTTACTTGAGCACTGACCCTTGCACCAAGATGTCACCTGTTCAATTCCCAGTCAGGGCACATGCCTGGGTTGCAGGCTCAATCCCCAGTAGGGGGTGTGCAGGAGGCAGCTGATCAATGTTTCTCTCTCATCAATGTTTCTCTCTCTCTCCCTTCCTCTCTCTCTAAAATAAATTTTTAAAAACATATTTAAAAGCTAGATCTGATAATGAGCTTTGATAGGGATAGAGAAATATGGGCAAACATGTGGGAGGGAACATGAAGTGTGAAAATTTTTTTGTACTGTACATTCATTAATTCCCATCAAATAGCATCTGCCATGAAAGAAATTCTGAACAGCTAAGTAGACAAAATCACTAGCTAGTCAATGTTAGCCAGTCTTTGTCATTAGTCATCCCACAACTGTCACAATGGGTACCTGAGTGAAGTAACCATGGTGGCAGATATGGAGGCTATATATGGGCTCCACAGCATGGTCTATCACACACGGAAGCTGATCTAGCAGCTGTTGTCTCTGAATGTCTAGCCTGTAAGGAACAGAGACCAAGGTCGAGCCCTCAATAAGGCACTATTTTTTTCTCAAAGAAACTAGTTGGCAACCTGGTGGTTAATGTTAACTACATTGGGCCCCTGTCAACCTGGAAGTGACCATGGTTCATCCTCATGGAGTAGATAGCTATTTCAGATTTGGGTCTGCCTTTTCTGCCCGCAGAACCTCTGCCAGTACCACTATCCAGAAGAGCAAGACCCCAGTTGCGATTCTGGGATCTACTGCAGCTATAGGGCCTGTAGTTCATCTCACTAGCCTCCTTTTTTTCCCCACTGAGGAAGATAGATTTATGGTAACCATGGAGTTGCTGCTCCCTGAACTTTTCTGGAAAAGTGGATCTTTGTGGTGAATGGGATGGACAGTGACAGTCATGAAAATTTGCTTCTCAGATTTCTAACCTTGGGAAGCATAATTGACTGGCAGCACTAGCTGCTGTGCTTTGAAATCACTGCACTTGTGCTGAGGCCACACTTCTCATGTGCTGCTCCCAAGCAATGACTGAGTGAACAGGTCCATTCCCAGGACACGGGAGTTCTCTGAAGGTGACTTTGGCTTAAGGCTGCTAGCTGCCTTGCCTAACTTTCTTAGAACTGCATGACACCCTAAGATGCTTCTCCCCATTTCCCTTCCTTCTCTTTCTCATTTCACTCACCCTTGTGACAGACACAAACTTATTCCAATCACACACCCACTTAGCAGATGAGCTGACCACCTAGATCACAAAATTGAGACCAAGAGTTGTGAACTTTTTGAACTTCTGTCTTTTCCACTTCAGATTTGACTCTATGTTGGCATGTCCCCTGGTGTCTGGGAGACACTCTTTTTAGACTTGCTGCATCCACTTGAACGCTTCCTCCTCTCCTCTTTCCAGAATCTAGTTATGCCCCTTATATGCTCACATCTTTACCTCTGTGCTTTCTTTGGCTTGTTTCCTTAGCCTCCAAATAGGTTCAAGTGTCCTCCTGACCTAATACACACAAAAACTTTCTCTTCACTCTGCCCTTCAATGCCAAAGTTCTTGAAAAATCACTCTATATTTTTATCCCTACTTCTTCACCCTGCATTTGTTCCTCAGCCTTCTCACTACTGTATCTCATCTCACCACTCCTTTCAAAGACATTCAAAAACGGCCACTCCTGGCGTCTCTGCATCACTTGACTCTATTGACCTTCTTTCTTTAAACTTCCTCTGCCATTGGCTTCTAGGAGACCTCTACCTCTGACATCTCTTTTTAGCTTATTAATCTGTAATTTGTTAATTTAAAAAAGGTTAGGGGAGCAGCACAGTCTCACCTCTATCTAAGCTTTAATGATGGAATTTACCATAGAATGTAAGATCATTGAAAGCTTGCACAAATTTGACATATTGATAGAAAAATATATTTTTTTACATTAAGGGGAAATCATATCTAAAGAATGCATTGGACTTCTTTGAGAGCAAAATTAAATATCTTAATACGAGCACAATACACGTAATGTTTTTAGAAGTCTTTAATAAGATTCTAGACTAAAAACTCCTATTAAAACAAAAATCATCATGGAAAATATTTTGTGAAAGAAAAGCACTAAAAGCACTAAACAAAGAATGAAGGTAAATGGGCGCGTGCATGTCTAATCAGTGCACCGAACATGCACTAACTTATGGAATGTACTCAGAAAAACAACTTTATCTTTTCTTTTTCATTGTCCACTTACATTTATTCAGTGGGTCTCGTCCTTCCCCTGCTCCTCTGTAGAAACTTGGCTTTTCTTCTTGCCCTTAAATAATAAGAGTTCACTTTAAGATTCACTTTTGACTTGAGATTAAAATGGGAGGTTATAGTTCACAACTCTTGTTAAAAAAAAAAAATCAAAACACTTTGCAAATGCCCAATAGGACTAACCTTTATGCCCTTGATATAGGTAAGGGCTCTAAGAAGGTTATAACTCTAAAATTCATAAATTCACAATTCACCTAGGTATCTGATACTTTAGGATCTCAGCTGAAACTTCCACTTTAACATTCCGTTCCACCTGAATAAAGATATTTAAACAGCAGAGTACACCAGGGATTGACTCTAACGCATTCTTATGAAATAGTTTGGTAAGTGATTCAGAGATGAGTATGTGTGTGAAATATCCAAAGTGGCATATGACACAACACTTTCAGTTAGTAAAATGCCAAGTGCAGGATAAACTGCAGAAAGATGGCACCAGGCTGGATGAGTGGGCAGAGAAATGGCAGATGAGTGTTCAAGGATAAGCTAGAAGATGCTTTCAGGATAAATAATCCAAACACCATTCTTGGGGTAATGATCTCCAGGGTATCTATCAGCCATGACCCCCTGAAAGGATGAGCTTCAGAACAGTACAAAGTTGTACACAAAATAAGGATCACTTGAGGTACAATTAAAAGTCTTCAGGAGACTCTCAAGATTTTTTTTCCCCATTGAAAAAATGAGGCATTGAATAGCTGGTACAATTTCCACTAATAAAAATAAATGTCCTTCAGACAGGAATTAGATAAGCAGCTTGTTTCTGCAGAAGTTGAACTGTAGCCAGTCTCATACAAAGTCATTTCATAAATACTACCCTTTTCCAAAAAAAAAGAGAAGATAAATGGATTCAAAAATTTCCAGGAAGGTACTGAGGATTCTGCTCAGGATTATCTCGGGAGGAGCGTTCCATCTGTTCTCTCTAATAGTTTAACTTGCTCTACTCTGTTCCATATTTCTTCATCAGGACTTTGGAGTTTCTGCATAAGATCAAATATTTTTCTCATTTCCCCTTTTGTATTATTAAAATACCACAATTATTTGAAAAATCATTTCCCTGCTCTATTGCTTACAGTATTATTTTAGAGAGAGAAAACATTTCGTCACAAAAAAAGATTTCATGACATCTCTATGGCTATATAAATATTTATGTATCTTTTTAAGTGCTTTGATTGATTGCTTTTAGATTGTCTCAGATTCCATCTGATTTCCATCCCTGCATAACTTCTTATTTAACCCTGCTTCCTGGCCCATGAAGGTCACCTTCAAAATATTATGACTTTTATGTAATGAAGACACAAAACCTAATCATCACTTAAATGACTTCGATATGAAGCATGACTAAAACCCAATGTGAGTAATTTTCAAAGAAAACAGGATGTGAAGATAAGTGAAGAGGAAGAATCTACAGATCTTAGCCCTGGATCAAGTACACAACTTTTTTCTGCTGAATCCTTTGAATATATGTGCTGTAATATTTATTTACAAAATCATTCACACTTTCATACTCTCACTTTGTACTTGGTATTAATATGCTATACTGTATCTTGTATTTGGAGTAAAACACTTTTTTGTTTTAATGTATTCATGGTAATAGCTCTCATAACAGAAGTGGGTAGATTTTAATTTTTAGCAGTGCCTTGTTTTTCTTCAATACATTCTCACATTTAATAATAAAAAATATAAAAGTGAATGTCTATAAGATTTTTTTAATTAGAGGAATTTCTTGTTTGTTTCTTTAAAAACTCTTGGGCCCAGTAATTCATGATTTTAAAATTGTTTTTAACCTTAGGAACTTGTCTACTGCTTCATCTCTCAATTTGAAAAGAAAAGCAAGCAAAGTCTATATGAAGGCACTTTTAACTCCCTTGTGAAAGGTAATACGTTATAATAATTCTTTTCTGACAGACTCCTGTAATTTTCCATCACAAATCAGTATTTGAGCTCCTTTCAAGTAGACACGTATTCCATGTCCTCTAAATACATGGCTGACCTTGAGGTAGAAGTGGAAACCAGCCCAAATCACATTCTATGCTCCCATTTTCTGCTCTAAACATTTTTATGTGGGAACATCAGGTAAAAAGAAACCAACTGTAAAAGAAAGAATGAGGAAGTCCCAGAAGAGCCACACCCAGTCTGGGCAGAGGGTGTGCACAAAGATAAGCCAGTCTTTCCTGCCTGCCCTGCTGACAGAGAGTATGGCAGGAGGTTGGGCATTCATCAATAAGAAATTTCCCCTCTAAAGTGTGTTGAGAACATTGAGTTTTTATAGCCCTATGAGACAGGTAGTATTGTTATCCCAATATTTTACAGATGGGAAAACTCTATTTCAGTCGTTTTTAGCACCAGTTGGGGAATTGGCCAACTGCCTCAGTGAGTCATGGTCCAGATGCTCAATCCTGCAGCCATGAGGGCCCAATGTTTTTGTCATTACTTGCTTTAGCTGTGCCCAGCATGCATCCTGAATACTTGATAATATATGTTTAAAAAGTAACTCCGTATTGTATTGATTATCATACAATTATCTGTGTTAGTGAATATTTATTTTCAGTATTTGAATCACTAACCCTCATTTCAGTGCTGATTTTTACTTTGGCAGTTTGTGCCAATATAAGGAAGCATTGGCATGAATATTGGAAGTGGGAAATTCGCCCACCCAGCAGGACCATGCCTCTCGCACAAATGAGCCAAACACTGAAACTTGCTGTCACCTCATTCCTCTAAAATTAAAGCTAGAATTGAGGAAAACTACCACCAGGGGGCAATAAATATCACATGGTCAGAACCAGAGATAATAAATTGGTGGCCAGCAGGCATATTTTGCTTGATTCAAATGGTTTGTTGGCTTGTTCATTTTAAATTTAAGTCAATATTTAATAATAAGGAGTGTTCACATAAAAATACAGATTTTTCAGTTTTTCTTGAAAAAAATCAGACGATCTAGCAATTATTGGCTCTGTGTTTCTTCATGGTTACAATGAGCTGTGGCAGAGTCGAACTGCCCCATTTGGATAGCTAGCCTATTTCCAGCTCTCCATCATTTATATAATATATGCACATGTGTTTACACCCAGCCTGCTATAGGTTACCTACCTGGCCTCTGTGGCATTTGAGTTTGTGAACTCCTCATCTAAATAATTAAGCTAGGGCAGGAAGTATGGTTATAAGAAAGATTATATTCATTAAATGTCTAGGTTTCTTTAAGTGCAATTTTAACTTTGTTTTTAAAAAATGACATTGCATTATCAGGAATATAATAATTAAACATTAATGCAGGGATCAACACATTTTAAAATGACCAAATTTTAGGTATAATTGGATATATTTTATCACTAATGTTTAACCACTTTAAGTTAGCTTATTCTAACTCTGTTCTTAATTTCTTACTAAAACAGAAATTTGGACAGTCATTCTAAATCCACACCCTAAAAAAATCAGGACCCTCCTAGAAAGGCTATACATTTTGTTACTTCAAACCAATTTGGCATCTGGTCATTCTCTTAGTTGCAGGTAAAAGCAAGTATTGTACAGCTGCCATAAGAAACTTGCTTAGATGCAGTCTCCCAATTTCTTACCTATTTCATTCTCTCTCAAGCATGTGAGTTTACTCACAATCAGAACAGGCAGAGAGAACAAGTGATGGACTTGCTCAAGAATGGCTTTGGCAGTGATATTTCTCTTTCCAGACTCCTAGAATGTCTTCACTGTTTAGGGCCAAACTTTCTGGTTTCATAGAAAAGTTACTTTTGCTCTACAGAGGTACTTTGGGGTGGCAGACGGAGACCTGAGTGAGAAAGGCTTGATTTGAGTATTACTCTATCACTCATTGAGTATCCACTACTACTCTTGTATCCTGACTATAAGATGGGGATAATACTATTTGCCCTTCCTATTTCCCCATGTTATTATTAAAAATAAAATAAAATAATACAATGAAAACAAAGTATAGAACATTCTATAATACAGTGTATTGCGATTTGAAAAATGCTTTGGAGGAAAACTGACCTAAGATGCCTGTTTTTCTTATCCCAAAAGTTTAGTAATTAGGATGCAGATGAACAAGATCCTCATAGTGAAAGAGACTTTTATGCAAGAGTTACCGGGGAAGATGGCAGAGTAGGAAGCACCAGGAATCCGTCTCCCCACCTAGACAACAATTGCACTCAAATCTGCCTGATATAACTATTTGGAACTGTGGCGTCTATTAAAGGCTTGCAACTTCCAGGAGAACGCTTGAAGGGTAAATTGTGATTATTTTTCACAATTTCAGCTCTTAGAACAGTAGCAATTATCCATTCCCCCATCTTCAAGACCCGTAGCAGGCAGCTATGCACATGTTCCTGGAGCAGCTTGCATGCAGCTTGCCAAGGCCAGGGTGGGGGGAAAAAAGAACAATGTCCTCCAGACATTGAGAATCTGTTCTTTGATTGCTGATTGTTATTTATGACCTCAGAGGCGCAGACAAAGAGGCAACTGCCATTGTTGTACACCTACCCTCATTGTTGTGAGCCCCTGCCCCTCAGGCTGAAGGGACTTCCAGGGATTTAAAGAGCTGGCACCTTTTCTTTTACCCTTAATTTTTCTTTTTCCCCTTTGGAAGCCATACATTAAAGGACATCAAAAGCAACCACATATACAAGGGAAATTAGAAAGTCACTGCACATACCCAGGCAAAGGCATAGGCTCAGAAAAGACCTGAGAAGACCTTAAGCTTATACCTCAGCCTGATTCTCAGTACAGAGACAGCCTACAACAACCAAAAAAAACCAAATCCAAAAACAAAAGCAGCAAACCCTAGGGAAGGGGGAGAATATTATTTACAGGGTTAGCAAATTATTAGATTTGAATGTCCAATTTTCAACAAAAAAAATTACAAGGCATACAAAGAAACAGGAAAATATGGCCCATTCAAAGCAAAACCAAATCAACAGTAACTGTCCAGATGATAAATCTACTTCACAAAGACATTAAAACAGCTGTCTTAAAGATGCTCAAAGAACTGAA